CAAGTCTTTTCTTATTACCGGTGGATTCCTTGGTCGGTTTTAAGAAGTAGTTGGAGAAAAATCTAGAAACCAATGAACTTTTACAGGTTCCTATTTTCTTTTTTCTTGGCCTTTTTAGTGAACTACTCTGTATATAGTTCTTCCAAAATAGTACTATATTATTTAGTCCATTGTATATGTATGACATTTTGTCAAATTGAAAGTGAACAAAAATGCAAAATACAATCAATATTACACCAACTGATAATTGTAATGAAATTAATCGAAATCACTGGTATATACAAAATCATTGATTTTAATAAGAAACTAGTTGGTACTGGTATTTTTCCTAGAGGCAAGTTACATGAACTTCTCGATATGTGTAAATAATCCACTTAATCAATAAAAAATAAATTAATTTATGAGTGATTAAAAGTATTCCTAGTGGATTTATTACACATAATTGAAAACGAACAAACACGTTAAAACTCGGAGTATTTTCTGAAAGTAAATTTTCAAAAATCACCAACTTTTATAATTAACCAGTTTCCGTAGGACATGGTTTAGTATGTTCATAAAGACCAAGTACTCTATCGTTATATCAAGTAAATCGTCTAATTTTAATTTTAACAAGCGTAAAAAAACTACTCAACTTTGATGAATTTTTTAAATTTAACTACTTGTCGTAAGGCTGTAATATTTCAGTAAGTTCTATAAGACCTATCGGCTTAATTTTTTTTCAACAGTTAGTTACAAGGAAACGGCTCGGTAGATTTTCATCTAAAACTAATCAGTATCATTCCTAACTAATATCTTTCGAACAGTTTTTGAATTCCCAAAATCGATTCAGAAACGTGGGCTAAAATATTTTCACTTTTCTGCGATTTACAAAGAAATTAGCTTGGCTGATTATCGCACAAAATTGGCTTTTAAATTTTTAAAATCGGTCCAGCCGTTTTTGAACAAACGTCGATTTACAGTAAAAACTCTGTTCACATACACAGACACACATACTTTTTCCAAACTTGGTTTCATTCGATTCAAAATGGCTTGAAACGTCGAGAAGACATAAAATTAGCGAATCGGATTTTTTGATGAACACATAAATTATAAACTTCTCCTCCGGGAAGTTAATAATTACAAATTACAAAAAATAAGTTGGCAAAAAACATGAAAATCCTCCAAATAAACTTTTGAAGACGCGATATACATTTGAACTGATTAATACGACAATGACAATACTGTGACAATGACGATCAACATCTGACAAGAAGATTACATTATGGCTTTCTTAATGTTATACAGCCGCTGAAACGTTTCTAAGACTAGCCAATGTGTTATTTTGTTTATATTTACTTTTTTGTCCGTATTTCCGCCTTCTAAAAATCTGACCATAGTGAACCATATTACTTTCTTAAGAATAATAATATTACAATATCGTTTTCCAGAGATTACGAGACTGTTCCTTCATGCATCAACATAATGGCACCACTGCAGCCATCAGACTGATGACAAAAAAGGAAATCAGAAAAAAATATACTTTAGAATCGTATCTCAGTCGATACTTTCCTTGCTAATGTAATTACTTGTTGCTGATTTGGAATATTTATTAAAAGATAATTAATTAAATATACTGATGATATACATTTGCAGTTTATTTCGCATAAATTTACAACAACAACATACTTATTTTTACTAATTAAGTTTAAGTCGTATCAACTTTAGTGCTTACATCTAACCGTATACATTTTTTATTGTTTCATTATTAGATCATTCAAAGGCATTAAAAATTAGTTATATTCGAAGTAATCGGTTGCTTGATGTTTTAAATATACAATAAAATATTACAATTATAACTTGATATTTAAAAATGAACTACATGCCAAATATACAGCAATTTCTCCAGTAACTTATATAACACTCACAATAAACATTTACACTTCTAAGATTTCATTAAAATATATAATTTGAATTCAATCAAATTAAATATATTACTAATAACATAAACATACAAGATGAGTGAAGGCATATTTTTTGCAAAAAAACAAATATTGGTACGGTAATGAAGTTCAATATTTGAAATTAAACGTTACAGACATACATAAAAAAAAGGTGAAAAGTTTACATATTTATTTAACGTAGAAAATTGGAACATAAAAATTTTGTTAAATAATTTCAAGTTCCTTCACAGTATGTATAAAATATAATTAAAACCTTTAAATGTAAAAATAGTAAAGTGTTCAATATTTTTATGCACTTTTAACAGACAGTTCCTGATAGCTTTAACATTATTATAATAGGTAATAGGAAAACCAGACAACAGACTGGTTGGTTATTCGATGATAAATACTTTTTTATCAGGTTTCCTCAATTATTCCTTAAAACGAGGTTTTCATATGGTTTCTAAACTTTTTATGCATTTTTAAAATATTGTTAGGCATGTAGTTCTAGTTTCATTCATTGGTCAAAAATATTTAAAAAAAGTATAGCATTACGTATAGTTAATGCTATATAAACATAAAGTATAGTTACGTCATCAAAATGCATTTTAAATTAATTTTAATAATTGACTCTTCACTCTTCTTGAATATTGTTGTTTAAAGAATTAATAACAATTATGAGATTATAAGCTTGAAGTCCTAGTTTAGGTTGTAACAATAAAAATCATATACTCCGAAAATTGTACACTGACTGTGGATATTCGAAAGCATTATTTTTATAGGATAAATTAGAAATCATCAGCTATATTATATCTACAGTTTAAGCGTATGATGATAATATTTCGGGATCTAACTATTTGATAAACTAATGTATTCTATATTTTTAAATCCATTTTTACACGTAATATTTAATAGGATCTTTATGTTTTTAATTTTACGTTCAAAAACATATGATTGCTTTTGCTTGCAAAAGAATATTCATTGATCATATTTTATCATTAAGGGGGGCGATACATGTAACAAGAAAAAAAAAAACGATTTTTTTTTTTTTCATAAATCGTTACAATAACATCTCAAAAATATGCCTGCAAAAATTCAAAACAAAATTATCATTATTTATACCTTAAAAACTCATTTAAGTGCCACGCCTCAACTCGACGCTCGAGTGCAATTGTACTCTTATCTGTTTCTGTGTCAAAACTTTAAACGCGTTTTTCTCAAAACGACATTTTTGAATACTGCGGGCGTGATAACTCAAAAAGTTCTCAACCGATTCCAATGAAATTTTGCACACATCTACTTTACAGTAATAGCTTCTAGTTAAACCTCAAACATTCCAAAAAAAATTTCAAAAATTAACCTTTTTACCAAAAAAAACAGTGAAAAAATGGTGAAAAATCGAACTTTTTTTTTCTGAGGTCTGCCAATTTACGATTTTGTGACTTTTTTAATTTTTTTTTGGTTTAACTAGAAGATATATGTTTTATGAATACGTACAAACTAATTTTTTTGAATTCAGATCACCGTACGAAAAGTGAGAACGCCCGCAGATTGATGGCGTTTTCCGAGAGGGTCTTGGCAGATCTATTTTTACGGCAGCCATTTAAAAAAAAAAAATAAAAAAAAAATGTTTTTGTGTATTTTAATATATAATAAATAACCATAAAAAAATTCAAAAAGATTCAGTTATTCCTTCCCAGTTTAAAAAGTCCTCAAAAAATGGTAAAAATTAAGGCGATTACATGTATCGCCCCCCTTAAAAGAAAATAATTATGAGATCAACCCAATCAAAATTCAGTATAGGCCAATAGAAAAATTTTCAAAAGACCATCAACAAATATAATATACTTGAAACTAAATCGATAATGAAGAAAAAGATAAAATTAGTTCAAATATTATGATAATTAACCAAAAATATTAATTTAAAACCTGTTTTCTGGAAAGACTGTGTGCGGTTATAAAATAAATAGATTTCTTTAGAAACAAAAATAACGGGAATAACCCAAAGACTTTTATATCATGATAGTATAATGTATATGTTTTAACACATTCACTGCTGCGCACGCATTTGTTGCGTGAGACTGTTATCGCCAAGTAAAATAAATTGCTTGAATTGAAATTAAGTAATGTAGTTATTTCAAACAGAAATAGTCCTGTTTATCCTATTTGGATACTTTTTTTAATTTTTTTATCTAAAGTGTGAAGAATGGTTTTATTTTATATTAAACAAATTTTATATTAACCCCCCTTTCCATTCGGATGCCACCACTACGGCGGCAAAATGTAGTGAATGTGTTAATGTAGTGAAACATATTCATAAATTCATTTTATTCTTCATTTTAAAAGTGATATATTTGTATCTATAAATTCAAATTTTAAAAGTTTCCATTAATAGACAATACAAATATCTCGGATTTAATTTTATAGATTAAAAAATGATTTAAATAGTTAAAAGTGTTCTTTTTATAAATTTTGGACAGTTATTATAGTAGACTATAAGGTACATAATTTCAGTATACATAGGATTTTAAACATCAAGTGAAACGCGAATTTTTTTTAGGTAAAATTACTAACATGCAAGTAAACATCTATGCTCAATTATATTGTTTATAAAATCATTTATTAAATATTTATATAACATTAACTAAAATAATTGATAATGTATATAGACAGTATTTCTCGAATACTATAGTTAATTTTATAAAAATATTTATTGAATGTGTCCGTTATTCTTTTGGCTCGTAAAAATATTAGGTATGTTAATATTGAAGTAATTTTATAAACAAAGCTACTTAATAATATATTAACATGAACTTTATTATTCGTGTATCAATTGAGCAAAATACATTACATTTATTACTAATTAACAAATTCATTCATTCAGACGTATTTGCAAATACTTTCCAATAGGAACACAAAAAATACGCATATAAAAATAATGATATTCTTTAGGTATTACTTAAGTTAGTATATTTATACAACTAATACTCATACATACTAGAATTAAAAAATAAATTATTGGGCGATTTTTATTTCATCAGTAAAAATCACAAATATATAACCGTATAAAACTGTGCTCGAATATTATGTACAAAATGCAATGCAAAAATAAAATATATATACAAAACATGGCTTTCCTCTCTCTCGCATTCGTATTAGTTCTCTCTCATTCACTCTAAAAACATCAAGAAAAATATCAATATTTCATCAATTATTAAATTTATCGCTAAAATATAAATACTAAAATAATTCGATATGGTTCTAGTAAGCGAGAAATTTATTGTTTCTATTGTATTCGATTTGTTTATCACAAAACACAACCTTGATCATAACGGAAAATATTTAGATTTCGAGGTTATAGAAATTTAATAACATGTTAAACACAGTAAATATGGCCAAAAAACCTGTGATCACTAATCGAATGATTTGAGACTACATTTATCAAGAAAAAAAAGAATGCATATATATAGGCATAAGATTAATTTTCCACAATGGCAAGAATGTTAATTACTTATTAATTTTATATACATATAAATCCTGAAATTTATGTTATTTGCATAAGCTTTTGAAAAATGATAATCAATATTGAAGAATTTCAGTTATAAGAGAAACTGGGTACGGTTGTGCCAGGGTACGGTAGTGGCAGTCTACAAACAGTTAAACTATACTGATTTTGAGATATGGTCCAAAGGGTGAAAGATTATAACACCACTTAATAAGTTCGTAGAATAACATATGAATGATGTAGCTATGTAATCATCCATATGATTTGTAGGAAACAACTTTAAAAAGATATATGTCAGAATTTCATGACAATCGAACGATGAGTTTACAAATTACAGAGGTTCAAGTGACGCTACTTTTGAGTTTTTGAAACCATGAATTCAAAGCAATTTCGTGGGTTGATTTATCATTGATTTTTGATGGGTAAAATACTTGATAAGTGTTATCTGGACTGTTCCAAATCAAGGTAGATGATGGTGAAGAAGTCGTTTGCTGATTATAATCTAGTCCACACAGACACTGACGATGCTGAACACTCTGGGAGGCCAATTGAGGTGGTAACACCGGGAAACCGTTTTGAAAAGGATAATTATGTAAATTATTAACTTTTCAAGCAATCGGTGTTTGATCACACTTCTTGAAATTTGAGATAAATCAAAGGATCCTTCGAAATAGTGGAAAAATTAAAATATTTGTTATTGCTATATTCTTGCAAAAAATATTTTGCATATTTTTTCAGTTATTAACTTCTCGAGTAGTCTTCTAAATAAATTGAAGGAAAAAATAAAATATTATGTTACCATTATATTCTTGCAAACTGCAGTTGCTTGCAGTAATTATCTAATATTTGAAATAAAATAAAAGCACTACGCCAGAAATAATACATTGAAAATTAACATAACGAATATTTACATCAAACTATTTAGAAATTGAAAATGAATGGACACTTGGTAATCCCTTTTAGAGCAAAGCCCTTATTTACAACCGTAGCAAGAGAATAAGACATCGTATTTAAGATAGCATATTTAAAATATCAAAATCAAGTTTCTTCATGGGTCACCTATTTTACGAGAATCAGCACAGCTGCCAAACATATATTACATTTTATCAAAAATGTTGTTCATGAATTGGAATGGTATATTTAAGTTGCAAGATATCATAAAGAGAGAAATTAATTACAAAGAACAGTTTTTGCATCTCACATGAATTAAAAACGCAAAGACATTCAACAAAGTGCAACTATTTTATATTAAATCATGTAAATAATAAAAACAATTATTTGCGCAACGTCACTGCAATACAGTGCAATTTATAAATTAATTAAAATTTCAAAGTCATTATATAAAAGTTTTTTTGAGAATTTTTTCTGGATTTTGAAATGCCGTTTTGGCGCAAAACAAAATATTCAAAATATTGCATTCAATACCTTACCATTACTAAAACGATCAATTCAAAATAAAATGCTTAATATATCAAAAAAGACAAAATATGAATTTCCGCAGAAAAAACGATCAAAGATATGAAAAAATAATAAAATAATCGAAACTTTCGATTACGGGCACTATATATATATAGGGGTAAAGCCGAAACGGTGTGGAAGTATTTCATAACGATCATGCAAAAAAATTAGAAAAAAAGTACTGGTCTTACCATGTTAACCTTTCATTTTTTACTTGATTTTTTTCATTAAGAAACTAAAAAGTATTTTACCATTTCACAATATTAATTAAATGCCCCATCTTTTGTTAAAACTTGTCAATACCCTATATTGCATTTTTTTTAAAATGTGTGCCTCTTAAAGTCGACAGTTTTGAAAACTTTAAATTCATAGATCAATAAAATTCTTGATTCTTGAAAACTTAGGGCAATTAGCAATTCCACCTAGAAATGTTATTTACAAATACGGATTCAAAGCTTAAATAAACAAAATGAATAAAAATTAACCACAATAACTGAAAATTGGTCAAATTTTCACCAAAGCTCTAGGTTGCAATTAAAAGCTCATAATTTTCAAACTACGTAAGATAAAGTTTTTTCTAGTTTTTTACATGATAGTTATAATCAATCACCATGACGTTGAGATCTGGTACACATATCTGTGGCACATAATATTATGCTATAATTGAGATAATTCTGATGATTTTTGAAAATAAAAAAGCGACAAAAACTTGCTTGTTATTAAATGCTAAAAAAAACTAATTAAATCAAAATACTCATATTCTTAAGTTGTGCGAAGTTTAGAATTCATAATTTTCCAGTTCCTTATATAAAAAACTATAATCTCATAATAATTTGCTTTTATAGCAATATAGTTTTTCTCGAATATAGCTAATATTTAAAAAATGCGTTATAATTTATACCATTTCTTCATTTTTCATGAACATTGTATAAATCAAAATCCAAAAATCCAATGAGATAAAGCATTTCATGATATTAAAAAAGTATAGTATAGTATAGAAAAATGAAAGAAAAGTTAATGTCACACTGTTAAAAATCATACAATAATGATAATTATTTCAACTTCCTATCTCCACCAACGTAAATATAATAACTTAGAACGAAATGATAATGTTGACTCACGAATCACAAAAATCACTATAAATACCTGTGGTATCCTGATCTTTTTTCTCACCTTCATCTGTACTAGAGTTTGATTTTCTTGATGAAACATCTTCTAAACCTGTATCTTTACTGATATTAGGACACATTTCTGTAATCTTGAGAATATTTGTAATAACATCCCGTACATCTAAATCAACAGTCCTGGATGTTGATTGTTCTTCTTCGGCCTCATCAGAAGAATTTTGTACTGAATTCGTTTCAGGAGCAGAAACTCGATCCATAATGACTTCATTTCTTCTTTCAAAAGAAGGATGTTTAAGTATTCCTGCACTTGCTACTCGTGGAAAACTGGAACCATTAAATCTAGAATCAGCATATTGTTCAGATGAATATTTATATTGGGAACTGCTGTGAAATTTTCCTGAATGATTTAAATTTTCTTCAAATTGATCAACAGTTTCCAATTCGTCTGGAGATTTACACTGATAGGACCCAGATTTGCTTGTGCTTTCAGATTCTATAGAACTATCATCTTCAGGACTATGTTGCATAGATTGAGATTCGGCATTAAATTCTGATCCAGGTATAAGTTCAAATATATTGCTGGATTCATTATGAAGTACTTCAACATCACTATTAAATTTCACATGCTTCTCAGGTGGTGGATTATCAAGAGGATTTGTAAGTAAAGTCAATTTTTGCAACAAAGAATTTATGTTGCACTTTCTTTGTGACAATATGTCTCTATTTGCAGCTAATTCTTTCTGGATAGCATCCACATCTACCTCATCTACACTTTTCTGAACATAACTTTGTTTTACTGCTAATAAATTTTGGTAGTTGTTCGCTAAATTCTCAAATTTGTTTTCATCCTCCGGCATTTCATTTTCATGAGGTGTATCTGGTACTACTTTAGCTAAGGATTCGAAATCTTCAGGCCTAATACCATATTCTTTTTCATCGCTAACGGTATTAAGATCCCTTTCAAATTCATCATCATCATCTTTTGTTACATCTAACAATCGGGACCGAAGTCTTTGAGTAATCTCATGTAATTCTGTAAACTTTCTCTTTAAAACTCGGCTTAAAGAAGTAGTATTTAAAGTATCATCATCTATTTCCCCTTGGTTAGGATTATGATTTAGTATATCTGTTATTATTGATTGGTTCATAGACGAAACAGCGTCTTCTGGCCTTGGAACAGTTTGGTATGAATAATGCTCATTTATAGTATTATGATAAAAATTAGAATATATATTGGGCGTTACATTTTGTTGATTTTGCTGATATTCGTTGTCACAAGGATTACTTGATAATCTAAAACTGGGCGATCCACTTCCCATATTCGAATTCACATCTGCGTTGTTAGTAGCCACTTGTCCAATATTAATATTATGATCTACTTCAACCTCATGTGCGCTTGTTTCATTTATATCCATGCACTCAGATTGATCAAATCCATATAATTTAGATTTTGCTGTTTCTAGCATTTCCATCATTTTCTCTTTGGATTTTGTTAGTCTAACTAATGTTACCTTGTCATCATTAGAGGAATTGAAACTATGAATAGTATCATTATCACTACAACAAAATGATGAATCATTGATGAATTTATCAAGATTTTCTAATGGGGTGATGCTTATCTGTAAAATAAAAATATTTATGTAATTTATAGAACAATGGTTGTTTCAACTTATTACTAAAATACTTAATGCAATTTAAAACTCAAATTATAAATTTCAATATAATAAAATTTTCAGTTAGAGGTTACTCCAGTTAGAATATTCCAGAAAAATTATATAATCAAATACCTTTATTTGGCCATTGCATCGGTTTCCGACGTCGGTGATATTGAACCAGCCACAAATAGATGGAAGACCAGAAAGCAAAGTGGACAAATCAACAACTGCAAAACCAATAACTACATCTGATACTGGCACTGCATTTAAATCGATATTTGTGTTTGATCCTCTTTTACGCCAAACTTTGAACACCAACTGCTTTGGATCCTGGAACAAACATCTAAACTTAGATCCAAAATTTTATTATAAAAGGCTGGATAAATGCTTGAGTTTAATTAACTATTAGAATATTTTCATTTTGGAAAAAAATATTTGCTTAAGAAATATTGGATATGAAGTTCGGCACCTTTTTAGTTATTCGGCCAAATACCGAATAGTTTAAATAGAACGCGCCGTGTCGCTCAGCAATAGTATTGCTTGTGTTTTATGAGATAAAGGCAACGATAGACCTTCAATTGGAAGTCTTTAGTTTACATAATATGATAAGAGAGAATAAAAGAGAATTCAGCATTGTATATATATATATATATATATATATATATATATATATATATATACAGGGCCGGTCCTGCCTTGAATGCAATGCATGCAAAAAATGCGGGCGCACGCCTTAGGGGGCGCCAAAACGAGATTCAGAAATAAAATTTATAATATATTATTTATATTTTTTTTAAATATTAATATAATAATAAACTTAACTAGAGGTCAGAAAAAGCATATTCAGTTTGCAATGTGATATCAATAGAAACAATTAACCAAATAACTCTGCAAATTTGTAAATTATTGTTCTGCTTATTGTCAATGTACTGTTAAACTTTTTTCTTCGTTTGAAGTTAACGTTGAATCGAAAAAGAAAATATTTAGTGTTCAATCAAATATTTAGTGTTAAATTAATTATTGAGCGTTATTGGTGAAAAATGGCGATCTGATTTAGTTGAAATGGAACTTGAACTTATTAAAGAAATATATACTAACTTTTGTTTTTGTTGTAAATGTTTCACATCTGATGAACTTTGAACGTTGAAGACATGCGTGGTTAGGTTTATGGAGCAAATATGAAAAATGGAAGCAAATTGTACTTAGGAACAAAAATCTTTAAGCTTTTTTTATACACAATTTCATTATTAACTATGCAGAAATAATACAGCTACAAATATAATTTATTTGTTGCAGTACAGTGCATCTTTTACTAATCTTTGGACAATACTTTAAAAATACGTTAAAAGTTCAACTTTAAAACAACAATCTGATACTTTGAATCTGATGGGAAAGTAAAGCTGAATACAATTCGGCCCTAAGGATACCAATAAGGAGAAGTTAACGATGCAATTCTGGATATTGTAAATAATGAAAAAATAAATTAAAATAAAATTTAATTCAAAACATAAAATACGAATGTTATGTTTAAAAATTAAAGACTATTCTCTTTTTGCTCTTTTGGCGTGATTTGCTTTATAAAATAAATCGCATAATAAATAAGTTTCAAAACCCAAATATTAATATTACACAATAAACTTAAAATCAATGTGTTTTATATACTTTTAGATTATATCTAAAATTTTGTGTACTAAAGTATGTGTACAAAAATCCAGAATGATTGAAAATTAATTTAAATTTTTTTTTTAAATTAATTAAAATTTAAAATTTATATAATTTTAATGAAAAATTGATAAAACAGTTGAAATTATTGAGGGGGGGGGGACGCTAGAACTAATCTTGCATGCGGGCGCTGAGGACCCCAGGACCGGCCCTGTATATATATATATATATATATATATATATATACATATACATATAATAAGAAACCATAAAATTTTAAGCAAAACAAAACAATTAGATGTTACAGAAGAACCGCGACATAACCGTTACCAATAAAGTGCTTTTATTTAGCATATTTTTCTTGCCTACATTCCTAGCCTAGAAATATTTAATATATATATTACACTAAAACTATTACTAACTAGTGGTGTATGGCATCATGCTTTAAGGCAAATTGCAGGAACTTCCCGTACCGTAACGAAATGATCGAAGAATATTAAATGTTTTCCAATAGATTTTTATAAATATTGTAACATAGTCTAATATTTATAAGAATTATATAAAATGAATTGCAAAGTTAAAATTATTCGTTTGAAGTATATTAAAACAGAATTGAAATTAAAATCTGAATTATTTTCAATATACAAAAAAAAAATCATGAAAAAAAATTTTTTTATGAAAAAAAAAATACAAACAATTTTTTTTTCAAAAGCAATTATTTTGTTGAAACAACCAGAAACTTCTTTGAATAATTCAAATCGGACGCTTAGTTCTCTCAAAAACTGCCACTTTTTGCACATTTAGCGCTGTATCTTCGAAATGGCTGGACCCGCCTTTGCTAAAAACTAATCACCTCTTCTCCCAATCATTACAAATTGAATGTTTTTTAGATCATTCAAATCGGATACTCCGTTCTCTCAAAAACTATTTCTATTTTCTACACTCTGTTCTTTATCTCCGTAACTGCTGGACCTGCTTTTGCCAAAAACTAATCAGCACATCTCCCTGTCAATAGGAATTTTTGAACTACTCAAATCGGTTGATCCAGGCGCCCAAAAACGTGAACGAAAAAATGCGGACACACGAAACACACACATCCATTTTTTCTGAGGTATGCCCAAATGTTCAGAAACCTTCAAAACGTCGAGAAATGCAAAAATTTTTATTTTCGATTTTGGGCTCATTGCTATAACTACCCTATGGAAAGTTAAAAGACTATTACTAAACACATACCGTTTTAAGTAGATCCACAGGTAAGGCAACATCAAACTTCTGCTTCCAAGTTGGATTACATGTATTGGGAACTACATTAGTTGCTACCACTGGTCCTTCTGGTGCTTGCACCATAGAGCAACTTCTACAAACTATGGCAGGAAACGTTACATACGTACTGGGTGCAATTTCAGTAGTTTTCACTTTAGTTTTGCACTTGCTTCGCTTATGACACTTTTTGGTGGTTGAAGTAATCTGGAGTAAGCATAGTTGAATTCGGATAAAGATTATTACTTTTTTAAATATAGAAATGAATATATTTAGAGTAATAAAAGTTTTGATGACTCTAAACTATGAACTATGAATAAAATTATGAATATATTTAGAGTAAAAATTATGACAGAATTGAAAAATATTAAATCGTTTGATTGAAAATGTAATGGAATAAAGCATTTTCAAAGATTCCATATTATCTAATTTTGTTTTCAAATTTATCATACCAAAATTTTTTTAGAATTATGTGAAAATGAACTAACCACAGCCAAACGCAAAGCTTGTTCCACTTCTATCGATGCCTTAAAACACTCAATAGATTCACTACTTCTTGTTTCATCAACTTCATATACTTCATTTAATTCATTTTCAACAAGACCATCAGCATGATTTTCAGTTACATTATTATCACTTGATCTTTGATTCATTCCGTCATCTGAACCAGCAGCAAAAGCCTGAGGTACATGCTCTAAAGCTCTTTGCAATTCTGCTAAAAGATCTGAAGTCTGTTTCAACCTTGGAGCACTTTCAGCAGAAGATTTTTCAGAACATAGGCCCATTTCAAAATTAGTCAAAAATGAAGAGTTTTGCGGTATATTTTGCATTAGTTGTGAAACAAAAGTTGATAGATTGCCAAAGGAATTAGGCTTCCTCAATGGTATAGCATTAGAACTTTTGGTGTCAGTTATAGATTCCTAAAAAAATGTAACTGATAAGTACAAATCATCATTAGCAACATTAATAATATAATGAACTCAATAAAAATTTTATTGTTAGCAAAATTTTTAATTTCCCGAAGGAAACGTTTCATGTCATTCTGAATCAAATGAGCTCAAATTTAGAAAAAGTAAGTGTATGTGAGTGCATGTTTTTTTTTTTTTTTGTTACAATTTATTTTTGTTAATCAAGACTTTAATGTCTTATTTACAAAAATGTGTGTGCATGTGAGCCGATGTTTTTTAACGATTTTTATTAAACTTTTTTGATGATTCTCAGAAACGGTTAAATCAAACTCAAAAGTTGAAAAGCCGTTTGCTATGTACTTGTTTTAGTTCTCTAGAGTTTACGGAAAACCCGAATCAATTTTGAAAATTCAAGAATTATTCGAAAGATATCACTTGAAAATCAGGTCAAGCCTTTTTTAATATGGCCGTTAAATTTTTTTTTCGACGATTTTGATGAAACTAACTTACTAAAATATTATAGTCCTACAAAAAGTGATTTAACCCTTTCGACTCGGATGCCGTCACTCCGGCGGCAAAATTCATATAAATCTCGGAATTCGCGAGTGGAAAGGGTTAAATATGAAAATGAATTAAAATATTGAATAATCGACCGCGCATTTAGAAAATACTGTGTGCATATATTAAGCAAAAGTTATCGCTTTCAATTAAATCTAAACATTGCGATTTCGAATAGAATTTTCAAACACATTAAAATTAACTGTAAATATTAATATTTGTAATTAGTGTGTAATATTAATAATGTAATTAAAATATTAATTATATTGCACAGACACGATACATTGTACGCTCTAAAATTGTATCTTAAAGGTATTTTAAATTTTAATGAATTGATAATGTTTGACTCATCGCATCACGAAAGTAACTTTAATACTATAATATTTCTCAAACTTTGATGAAATTTCAAAAACTATTTGTCGTAGGGCCGTAACATTTTAGTATATTTTATAAGACCATGATATCTATTGTCAAATATTTATTGCCAAAAAAGATTTCATAAAAATCGGCAATTTTTTTTTCAACAGTAAATTTCAAGAAAATATCCCGGTAGATTTTTAGCTAAAACTAATCAGTATCATTCCCAATCAATATCTTTCGAACAGTTGTTGATTTTTTAAAATCGATTCAGAATTGAGAGCTAAAACGGGAACGAAATTTTTTTCACGTTTCTGCTATTTACAAAGAAACGGCTCAGCCGATCGTCGCACAAAACTGATAAAATATAATCCACATCGAAATACATCGAATAACTTTTAAATTTTTGGTTCAGGCGTTTTTAAGCAAACGTCGATGAAAGTTCTAATTTTGACAAACGCCAAAAAAACGATACTATTTTTTGCAAACTTTGACGAATTTTTAAAATTCTATAAGACAATGGTATTATCGTCAAAAACAAAAAAATCATAAAAATCGTCGACAATTTTTTTTAATTCTTTATTACAAGAAAACGGCACGGCCGATCTTTACGAAAAACTAATCATGACGATTTCCAACATCCCAACCAATATCTTCCGAACGGTTTTTGAATTTTCAAATCGATTCAAAATTGCGGGCTAAAACGTGGACGAAATTTTTTTCACTTTTCTGCTATTTACAAAGGAACAGCTTGGCTGATCCTCGCGACAAAATTAATAAAACCTTGTCCTCATCGAGATACATCAAATGGCTTTTAAAATTTTGAAATCGATCCAGCCGTTTTTGAGAAATCGTCCATTTACGGCAAAAAATCTGTTCACATACACACACACATACTTTTCCCAAATTTAATCTCATTTGATTTAGAATGGCTTGAAACAACAAAAAATAAAATTAGCGAATCGGATTTTTTGATGAAAACATAAACTTATCCTTCGGGAAGTTAAAAAACGATCACAATTTTGACTTACATGAAGTTGCAAAACGGCTAAACAAAAATAGTTGTTTCAAAAACAAATATTTTGATAAAATGCAAAATAAGTAATTATTACAGATCCTTCTCTGCTCATTTTGAGAAATGGTAACAAACTTTAAGCAGTCAATAAAGCCATTCAATTATTTTATTTTTAATGGGTATCATAAAAATATCTGTTATTCAATTTTATTTTTAGTAACAAAAAAGAAATTTACTCACTGATTCCTCTAGAACAGTTGGCATATTAGCATCAGTTGTTGTTTGGGTATATACTGTATTATAATTTTTTTGATTTACTTCCTCATTTGTAGATGATGATTGAGGAAACTCGGAGTTAATGTCAGATATACTAGTAGCAAACTGCCTAACTACTATAGGTGACGTGTTTACACCTGCGAAGATGAAAGTCAAATATATTAAATAATGATAGTATAAAATTATATAACAATTAAATTAAAGCTTTGATGCTATGTACTATAAAAATTGAAGGCTCGAATACCACTAACTATTATTGACAAAAGTCTAAGAAAACTAAAAGTATGATCTAAATCATTTAGTTGATTTTGACAGTAATGTAAATAACTATTATATATTATGAATTTTACATATAAATTTAATTTGTAGATTTATTTGATAATTGAAAAATGAAAATTAAGATAGCAAAAACAAATTTAAATGTGTGAATCTTATAATATGTATGGGCTATATAAATATTCATTTTCCTAAACCAAAAGATATTGTACCAAACTTATTTCCACTAATAATATACATTAAAAAATTCATATATTTGATTTCAATTGAGAGTAATTCTGTTTTCTTAATAAATTTAACTGAAATTTTATACAGTAAAAAAATGCATTTTATTAAAAAAAGAATAAGCATTGAAGAATCTGTAGAATCAATTACCTATAGTGCAACTTAAAACTTTAGAATGTTTCTTCTCATGCTTAGAAGATTTTTTGTTAGATTTCGAATGATGCTTTTGATGAGGCGAATTTAGAGGATCATCTAACATTTGAACAATATCTGGTTTTAAATTTCTAGACGTTCTTAATTCTTCTAGTTGCTTTTCTGTACCAATGGCTAATAAAGCTTGAATTTCTCCAGAAACCGTACCAGATATTGGTGATAGTAGGGGTATCCATCCATCCACAGAAATAACAGGTAACTGAAAAACAATAATATAAAGTTACACTGAGTCTATAATCTTTTTCCAAATCGAAAAATTAAATTTTTATTTGTCAACTATGCAACTACAGCCCAACTGATCAACGCAATCTATTGAAAACAGAATGAATAATAACTATCTTTAAAAGATCTTTTGCATTTTTAAGGTTATGCAAGCACTCGTAAAATAAAAGAGGCAAATATCATAATCACAAAAATACTCCTTCAATTAAAAACATCTGCTCTTTTGGGTTAAAAAATAACTTTTCTTTCATAAATAACAAAGTCTATGTAATAACAATTAATAATAAAAAGCATCTAAAATAGTACCTTGACTTTCTCCAAATATCGTACCATATTAGCATCATGGTACGCCACAAAGAATGCATGTAAAGGCAGGCTAGCTACTCCCACCAATTTTTGTGCGGGGCCTGGTCCTTTCAACCAAATTTCTATAATCAGATGTCCACTGTGACATCTTTCCATTAATGCTTTATTACAAAGTAATGGAAAAGTCTACAAAAAAAAGTATTCCAAAATATTATAAGAAAAAATTGAGAAAAAAAGAAACATAAAAAGCAATATAAATGAAGCTATAAACGCAGTTTTACCTCTAAATATTGAAAATATTTTCCATCACACATTATGTTTTTACTTGAACCACCAGTTCCAGGACACAGGCCACGATTTACAAGACAATAAGATTGTGGTAATAATTGAGGTTCTAAACCTCGTGCTTCATTGACAAACAGCAAACCATGTAGTAATGTAGACTAAAAAAAAACAAAATAGATGCATTATTTAATTTAACCTTTTTATATTGCTCTAATAGAAACATATCTATATATACAGTAGAAAATAGATTAACCGGACTAATTCAATAGGCATTCAGGTAATAAAAAATCAGGATAACCAAATGTATGAAGAATTTTGTTATGTGTTTACTAAAAATAACAAATACATAGATAGATATTAACAAAAATCAATGTTTATTAAGAAATCAACACTTACGTACGTACATACATATTTTCTTCCAATTAAACTAAGCATTAATCATGAAATAAAATAGTTGTATTGGTACGTATGTATGAATAATTTGTTTACAAAATGCATTAGGTAATTTGCATTTGGTAATCATGAAATAAGTAGGTAATAAGTTTAATGGTTTATATAAAATAAAATCGACTTGCTGGTATGTACATATATATCAATCGAGATTGATAGTCCAGAAAATCGCAAATTCGTATAACTGAGTGCCAGATAAATGTGTTTTTACTGTATATATTAGGGTGGTCCTTAAAATGGTCATTTCCGAATTTCCCTGCTCCCAGGGGCTCAAATGGTTCCAAATAGATAAAAAACAATTCTCTGAAAGTTTTAGCTCTTAATATTAACTTTTAGATAGAGCGCAATTCAATCTAAGTTTTGTGTGGAAATAGCATGAAAAATTTTTCAAAAATTTTAAAAATGTTTTTTAGATGTAACTTAGCGAACAAATGAATAAATAAAACTCATTCATTTGTCGCTAAGTTATACCTAAAACATTTTTTTTTAATTTTCGAAAATTTTTTCATGCTCTTTCCATACGAACTTTGATTGAATTGCGCTCTATCTAAACGTTAATATTAAGAGCTAAAACTTTCAGAGAATTGTTTTTTATCAATTTGGAACCATTTGAGCCCCTGGGAGCAAGGAAATTCGAAAATGACCATTTTAAGGACCACCCTAGTATATATATATATATATATATATATATATATATATATATATATATATATATTAGGGTGATCCTTAATATGGTCATTTTTGAATTTCCTTGCTCCCAGGGGCTCAAATGGTTCCAAATTGATGAACAATTCTCTGAAAGTTTTAGCTCTTAATAACGTTTAGATAGAGCGCAATTCAATCAAACTTCGTATGGAAAGAGCATGAAAAAAATTTTGAAAATTAAAAAAAATGTTTTAGGTATAACTTAGCGACAAATGAATGAGTTTTATTCATTCATTTGTGTGCTAAATTACATCTAAAAAACATTTTTAAAATTTTTGAAAATTTTTCCATGCTATTTCCATACAAAACTTTGATTGAATTGTGCTCTATCTAAACGTTATTAAGAGCTAAAACTTTCAGAGAATTGTTCATCAATTTGGAACCATTTGAGCCCCTGGGAGCAAGGAAATTCGAAAATGACCATTTTAAGGACCACCCTAATATATATATATATATATATATATATATATATATATATATAAATACATAAATCAAATTGAATAGGATAAATCCACATTGATTACAATAAGGATATTAAATCTCACATCTTCTTCATTCCTTGATTCCACATCAGCATCGGCAACTTTTCCTCGATCTTTTCTAAAATAAGAAGATCTTTTAATAAAAGACTTTCTAGTTAAAATATTCTTCTTCTCATTTTGATCTTTTTCACAAACAATGTCCTTCCCGCCTCTTAAGTCTGTATTTACAAATTTTCCATCATCAGAATCTGTTAAAATCTCATTTCCCTGAAAAAATTACAAATATTAAAATAATAATCAAAGCATAATTTTAAAGAACTATTTATTAGCAAAAAATATAATTATAAAAGTTAACCTCATAGATAAACCTAAAAAAATTAAATATAAATAAATACCTTCTGTTGCTCCTTCAATATTGTTTGATCTAAATAACATCCTGCAACTTTAGTATTTTGTGATTGTTTAACAATAGTTTTCTTAATAGTTGGCCTTTTCAGTTCTTGGTAAGTAACTTTATTTTCATTATATTTTCTAATGGGCTTCATAATATGTGCATCATATACTTGCTGTTGCGTTTTTTGCAGGAAAGGTTTATTAGTATAAAAATCTCGACAAACTGTGCAACGTTCTTGAGGCAGGGCTTGTTGTTGCTTGAACATTGCACAATTACGATGGTTAATACAGTCCAAAGTACGGTTTTGATTGTCTAGAAATTGACCATTGAATGTTGTTGATGCTATCTCTTCTTCATTACATTCACTGTTTGTTAATGTACTCGGAATGCTTATGTTTTCTTGATTTGCAGCAAATGATTCTATAATAATATAATATTGCAATGCATATGTGAAAAAATCTTCAATCTTGGTTAAAAGAGTCATTAGGTAACAATGATATGGTACATGTAGGTTATACTTTTTATAAATAACAATCATTAAACATAAGTAACTATAAGTTTTAATAAACAACTTTGAACATAGTTCTAGCAACAGAGATGACAAGATTTGTGAATCACATGAATACGTAATAATTAAGGGCAATGGTAAATGCAGTATAAGTACCTAAAAAGTGTTTTCCAAAATGTAATAATCCAGACCCCAGTTCAACTTTAACAGTTAAATGTCCAGCCAAAATACCTCCAAATCCAATTACATCAGAAAAGACATTTTCACTATCAGTTTTCTCTGGCAACTTATGGCTGCTACCACTGCTTTTCATATTCACATCCTTATCAAGTTTTTCATTTTGACTTGTAATTATTGGACACTTTCTAGTGCTGTGTAATTTAGGCGAGGATACAATTTCGTTGAGAGTAATTCGGCATTGTCCAAGATGTTTGGCCTGTCTTTGTGATACTTTACGATAATAAACATTAAACACTATTGCTGGATTAGGGACATTAGACATTATTGCAGACAGAGGTACTTTATGGACAGATTGCCGATTGAATGGAACATCTAAAATAAAAATGTCAATAATGTAAATATTATTGATGATTATATTTATTTATTTTATGAATGTTATGTTAAATAAAATAATTTAAATATTGTTCATCATTTAATAAATGATGATTTAAATGAATAATAATTTAATAAATAATGATTTATTAAATGAAGTTTAAACTCTTCATTACTGTTGGAAGTTAGACAGCTAAAGGTTGTCTAATCATTAAAACATTTAAAGAGCAGTTTTAGCAATTGATCTGGCGGCGCCTCACATAAAATGTTATTCACAAAAACTTATTAGTCAAAGATGTCAATTTTTGTGCTTATTTGAATATAGGAAATAACTGTTAAAATTGTGAATAAAAATTAGTATTTACTTATTTACAACAAAAAGTTTAAACCAAATGTTTAAAAATAAGAGTTGAGAAAAATGATATGTTTTATAATTTTTCTGAGCTTCAAATAAAACCAATTAACAAGTAAAGAATAATTATAAAAAAATAATTTTGAACTACAAAGTCTTTTTCTCATATGACAAAACTATAACTGATGTAAGTTTTCGGTGGTGGTGGTAAGCACCGCCAGATAAAGCTTAATGTACCATTTTTTTTGCATGAAATCCAGGCCGGACTAGAATGTGTGTGAGAGCGCGGGGGGGGGGGGGGGGTTGTTTGGTGAGCTAATAACTCATATGGACATATTTTCGGTTCAAATTTTCTAGTTAAAATATATTTAAAAAATAAAAGCAATCAAACTATTTATTAAAATCCAGGACAATCCGGGTCACAAAACACCTAAAACCGAGACAATCAGGACTGTCCCGGCCAATCCGGAAAATATGGCCACCTTACTTAATGTAGTAATTGATATTAAAGCATGATTTTTTGTTTAAACAATAAATATGAACATTTACAATTTTTCAATCAATATATTAAGTATTATCACTTGAATTTCATTACCTTGACCATCTTTACTTTTTGCACAGATTCTTATGCGACTAATATTTGATGCATTATCCTGCTGCTTTCCCAGAGAAGGCATAGCATATTCCACAAAAAATGTTACTTGAGAAGATATAGTTACCAGCGGCAAATTTTCTAAACCAAGAACAATGCGTAAGCCTGCTCTCGTTAAAGTCAAAGTTTGAACTGTTACTCGCACACTATCAACATGATTAATTAATCTATCAACAACTGCAATTTTAGGTTTCATAATATTAGCCTCAGGAATAATTTTATCCAATTTAGGAATTGTGTTTGACTCCATTGCATTTTGTTTTCGAAGTTTAGTTATTTTAGAAATTTCTTCAATATATTTTGAAATACTGCTGTCCTTTTGTGTGTTATATGAAATACTGTCAAGTTTAGAACTAATATTTGTTGGGCATTGAGTCCATGAACTATTCTTAGTTAAACAATGCTCAGCATCAGCCAATGCAATCAAGCTACTTGCTGGTGATAAATTTCTTATATCTTTCAATGCTTGTTTTTGTAAATCAACACTCATATCTTCTCCATGCAAAAACTTTAATACATTTTCTCGACTAGAGATTGCTATGTCTATTGAATTATTTGAAGCTATGTCATCATCATTAGATCTTTTGCTGTATTTTTTGGGCAAACCTGAACATTTTTCTATATGCCTTGTATCATTATTGATTGTAGGAAATTCTTGTAATTTAGATCTTCTAGAGGTTATGGGTTCATATTCAGTTATTCTACTGGAATTTGGGGGTGTAATGTCATCTTTGAAATTAATTTGAAAATTAATGTGTAACTCTCCAACTATGATTCCATCATCATTTGTTATATTGCAAACACTTGCGGCTTGATTTTGTGCTAGTTTGGTTTGACATAAATCATGAGGTATTTGTACTTGGGCACTTCCTAATTTCAAATTTGATATAGCTGTGACGAGTTCAACCTTTACCAATTCACATTGGGCTAGGTACGAATAAAACAAATTTAAGCTTGTGCATATATTGTATACGAAATTTATAGGGCATATAGGTTTTTTACTTTCTTGTTTATGTACTTTAATAGGTCTGAAACAAAAAGAAAAATTATTAAATGTCTTTACAATAAATTTTATCTTCAAAACGATTTGTACCCTAAATTTTGAATATTTTTATTACTTTCACCCCACCATTGCAATTGCACCAAAACAGCAGTCGGTGCCCTGAACAAAACGATTTCACTTATTTTAAAAATTAATACACCTCTCACATTTCCTATTACTTGTGGAGGAAGAGAATAAGTATCATTTGTCATCAAGTTAATTGCCATAACTCCATTGCTTCAACATATTAAAATTATATATACATATATAAATTATAATGTGTAAATTGCTTTCTGTCAAAGCAGCTCATAAACAACATTGTCATATGATATAGTATTGCCAGATGTGATGTATATAAACGATTGTATTGCCAGATGTGACGTATATAAACGATTCACCGACCACGCGACAGAAAGTCGCAAAATTGTATTTAACGTGTAATTTCAGTAGCATTGGAAAACATGGAAGTTTTCTTGAATATAGTTTCTCATGAATTTATAAAATTAATTATTATAGAATAGCTGAATTTCATTCGTATAATAATTTATCAAAATCATTACACACTCATACTCTTCTTTTATCTATGCATGTAGTGCATGTAGTTCCATATGGAACACTAAAATTTATATTTATATGTTACATAAAAGACACAAATAACAATAAATTACAGAATTAAATGCTCCTAAGAGTCCTAATTTAAATATTTATAGTTAAGCAAATTCTTATCAATCAAAATTGTAGTATATCAAAAATAATGTATACTTGATGTATATTTGATAAAAAGAAAGGATAATTTTATAGTTAACTCCGAATGTAAAAGTTTATATATTAAAGTACATGAAAAGTATGTGTACTTTGTCTTTTAAAATATATGGACATGTAATGTTTTTTGCACTTTTAACAGAAAAGACAGTAAATGGACAGTAATACTTGTAAACTTATATTTATGAAAAGACAAGTTTCAAAAGATCACATCGTGCAACTCCTAACGTAGGTAAATGAAACTTGCTGACCTTTCCAATAGTTGCGCCCTAGTGAAAGCAAAAGTATAGTAAACAAAACGAAAAAAGCGAGTTTCAAATTAAAATTATATAAAATATCAATCAAATATACAATATTTATATTGTGAATTGTAAAAATGAAAATTTAATGTGTTTTTTATGCGTCTCATTTGATGTTTTGCTTATGTGTCAAATTTGTGTTAAAAAGTATTTTTGACGTTTAATTCGAGTATAAATATTCAAACTTTAGCGCTCTTTATTCATAATGGGTAAGTGATAAGATAAGATTCGATTATAAATCATTATAAATATCTACCTGGATTGAAAAACAGGTGTGGTGATTTACGCCTTCTCTTTCTAACGTCACTGAGATTTTGAAGCAAGAGAGAGACGTCGATATTCACATTAGATTCCGTTATAGTGTTCCCATGTTTGTTTTCGTGTGAAATTTGTGAATGATAATTTTAATTTATTAGAAATGTCAAGAAATTTGAATCGGTTATATAAATAAAAGATGATTATTATTTTAAGTATTCAGAGAAATTTTTTATATAGAATGTTCCTTATTTTCATTTAGAAAGTTTATACCAGTTTATACCAATTGTGTTGACAATCACAATTAGTTCAATTAAGTGCAATCAACTAAAATGAGTCACCAATAAAAGCTAAATGAAAGTCTAATTTGGATTTGTCTAATTACTACCTTGGATATTGCATAGACAAATGTTTCAAAATATTTTTTCTATTAAAAATTATTGCTCTATAAGTTTTTTCATTAATTAATATGGAATCTAGACGACGTAGTCCATTGACTGTACAAGAAGAAATTTTATTAGAAACAAATTTTGATGATGAGTCAGGCTCACCCCGGACTCGTGAAAATAAAGTGTATAGATTAAGAAATAGTGATCTTTCCTTGGATAGATATTCAGACGGCTCTCTAAGGAGAGGTCAGTTAGGAGGCAGGAAAAATCCTGGTATGTTAACTAGATATATATGTAAAAAATAGTTCGTTATACACTGCACAGAACTTATCGACTTAAATGCTCATAGTAACAAATGATTCCTCTTAAACTTAATATATTTATATCGTGTTATTGCTTGAAAAAACTTTTTGCTTATTTTTGCAAATTTTACAGGTTCCTGTTGCCAAGCATGTCTTACCAGAATCCCATATGCTACTCTGATAGCCACAGTAATGTGCCTTTTAGGTGTGGGAGTCTTTTGTGGCACAATGTATCGTGGGGCGACTTTAGCAGTATTAATGGCTGATCAAGTATTTCATCAAAGACTTATGTGGTTTGTAAAATGTCACTATTAATAGCTGAATTGCCATTAGTATCTGAAAATATGTCTCTATATTACAAATGTGGTATTTCCTTTCTAAATTTTAAATAAGTTTACTTACATTTTTTAGGCTGGAAGCAGTACAGATGGTATTCGTAGTATTAGGTGCTTCTATGGCAGCTTTAGGTTTTATTATATTATTTGTTGGATTTTTGGCAACGGGTGCTACAAGGCACAAAGTTTACAGAGCATGGGGCTCAAGAGTTGGTGGCAGGATATCTTGTGCTGTGGTAAGATTATTTAATGATTTCATATATTACATTATATATTAATAATTATAGTTTAACATCATAAAAAATATTCAAAATACTATTTAAAAAAATGCCATTAAATGATTAAGTCTTGTAACGTACATACCAGATTTATCAAATTACTTTATTGTGAGAGATTCAAATATTTTATTGTAATTAAAATTGATCGATTTTCTTTTTCTATGCACTTTAGTAATTTAAATTTGATTGCAGTTTATGGGAGTAACCTATATATTACAATTAGCTTGGATACTTATGTTTGGTTTCCTAGTTATAGTCACCTTTATCTTCACTATGTTCTGGCATATGTGTTATAATTATTCAACACAAATAAGAGAATGCATTGATTTAACACAGTTTGGTAAGTCATATCAAATTTGGTTCCACTAATAAGAAATGAATATTTTATTAACTATAATTACCTGTTTAGATTTTATGTTCCCGAATGGAACTAGGGTAGAGGATATGAAAGTATGTGGTCCAACTGAAATTAAATTATTTTGCAAAGATTCTGTAGAGAAGGCAGAAATGATGTTTATATTAGCGACAGCAGCTTGTATGCTTGTTATTTTAAGCCTGGTAAGTTGAGAAACAATGTTAATAACATGAAATTATTATAATATATATAAAAAAATATACATAAGTTAATTAATCGTAAAATATCAAATAACTATAATTTTCTTACTTTTCTAATAGATACATTATTTAATGTGCTTGTCTGCTAACTATGCACATATTCGAGATCATGAAAAGTTTCAAGAACTCCAGGAATTGCATTGTTTAAATGACCCAGATTACTTGAGCACAGCTGCCTCCAAAGACAGATTCTAGGATACGTCAAGGGAGATCTTTACCAGTCGCTTGTTTTGACTTGATGTTATCAACCTAATTTGGTAATAATATTTTTAGGTTTTTAATTTTACAATTTATGGACAATTACAACAAAGACAATATTAATCAAAATATTGCTAACTCTTACATAAATAATATAATGCTAAAACATGTTTTTTACTTTAACTCTGAATTCTTTACAAAAAATTCATAATTGGAAGAGAAAGTTTTTTTCTTATTTTTTTTCTCAGTTTTTATGTACAATTAAAATTAATTACGGAGGTGCTCTTAAGTTTAATTAAACAATATATTTTCAAAATTTATTAATCTAATTGGATTCAAAACAGAAATTCTTTCTTGACTTTCCAATGATATTCCAATCAAATTAATTTATATAATTTTTTACAAATTTTATCGAAGGATTTGTCTTATAGTTTTGAAGCAATAATTGATGATTATAATTAAAATAAGTTTCCATATTATTTACTCACAGATGTCCATCAAATAGCTGGAGTTGATAATACTGCATGAATTTTATCATTTTTGCTACATATGAAAAGACTGCAACTCTCAGCACTGTCAATAGAAGTACGTTATGATAAGAAGTATTCTAATTATTAGTAAGACATAACAATACCTGGAGTATATTTTTTTATTTTTATATGTTTATGACTTTATTGAAGACATAAATTAGAGAATTGCTAAATCAAAGATCATTTTTTATTAACTTATTATTTTTGACTATTGAGAAGTTCTTTATATTAGTTATGAATTAGGTGAATCTTTATTATATAAGATGATTTTATTAATAATACGCAACTAATACAAATCAAACAAACATTCCATTTATCAGTATCATTAGAGATGATAAATTCACCTGAAATGCCGTCCAAGTAGTATGAATTGTCATTTTTATTATTTTCAGATACATAATGAAAAAAATTGTAGTTTGTTTTGAAATGTAATTTAATATTATATTTATTAGTGAAAATAAATAGTAGTAATATATTTTTGAGAAGTGCAGCTTATACTCTTCCATGAGTACTGAAATAATTCCTATTTTGATATTTATGTTGTTTTAACACAATTATATTTAATTTTCGAAAACATTTAAAACAAACTAAAATTGTGTATATACAAATTTGTAAACATATACATATTTATCATATCATGTCATTCCTCCTAGCATTAACAATCGACGAGATCTCCCTTGCATCTAGTAAAATAATATCTAGCTACTAACTTGTTGCTTTGTAAATATATATGTATGAATATTTTTCATATATGCTTTTTTATTGAAGAGAGCTAATACAAATGTATGTTCAAAATTGGGAACAAATTATACCCATGTTTTAGTTTTAAACACCATAAAAATTATCATTAAAGTCTTAGTTCTGGCAACTATTTATTTGAAGGCTCATATATATATATATATATATATATATATATATATATATATATATATATATATATATATGGCTTATATTTATAGGTCCTATATTTATATTGCACATAAATATGATGAGATATTCAACAAATAGAACAACTTTCTTATACATTTTTAGAAATTTATCTATGCCAAAAAATTGTGGGATTTTTTTTCACATGAAATTATAAAAATAAGATTTTATAATTCATTTACATATTTGTAATCAAAATTACGTTAAATTTTAATAATTATTAAATTTTGATAAAATAAAAATCATATCCAAACATGCAAGATAATATTCTGGTTTGCTATGAAATACTTTAGCAAGTTACTTAAAATTATACATTATTATATATTATATTTATTTTATTTTGTGCAATACATTTTTATAGACTGTTAGAACCCTCCACATTTATTTAATATATTGATATAGAAATATTACTTCATAATACAATTATTATATTTAGCGCTATTTTGTAACTAATGCTCAATCATGTACAGGCTTTATATGTTTGTACTGAATTTTATATAAAATGGTAATATGGATAAATAATATAATTATAGATGTATTATATTAAATGAGTGTGCACAATTTTGAAAACTGAAATTGTAAGCGGTTTCTTCCAAGTTATAAATATTTATAATAAGTGTGAGTGAAAAGTGATCCTTTGATATAAATGCTTCATTTATGTTAAACAAAATTTTTATTCATAATTGATTTGTTTAAAGAATGATGAAGATGATGATATTTCATCATTAATTTCATATTGCCAAGCATTGTCTTAAAAAATTCATTAGCAAAATTTTTTTGAAGAGTTAAGATAAGTATAAGAAACATACTTCATTATGAAGAGCACAAGACAACTTAGTATTGAATTTTAATTTAAAGAATGAAGACAATAAAAAGTATTAAGTTATTTAACATTCAATGACTTGTTAATTATAAGAAAATAGTATGATTATATATGAAAACTGATTTGGTTATTAATAGCTTTAAGATAGTATTTAATGCACTTTTTGTATTATTATAATAGCTCATTTATTATGTTTCTATTGAAAAATATCAAACGAATTTTATAAATAATTCGTTTTATTTATAATAGTACGTTTATTTTAAGACTTGTTGAATTAGTATCATCTTTGCCAATTGGCCGAAATTCGATGCATATTGATGCAATTTAAAGTACTTGAATATTGATGCAATTTATAAGTACATTAAAATTGTATGTATTTGACGTGTCATTATCTAGAGTTGTTTTTTCTACTTTATACTTCTTTTCTTTTTTAAAATAATGCATTCCTTTTATTCGATTCCATTATTTCGATCCTAATTCGCGACAAGTTTTTTTTGCAATATAGTTTTACTTTGTTTAAATTAAAAAAATGTGTAGATGGTGTTCTTACGAAATAAATTAAATTAATTACGAACTAATTGAATTACGAATTTACAAAAATAAAATATATAAAAAATGCATATTTTAATAGTTTTTTTTTGTAATTTTTAAGATTGTACAAGAGCATTTAATTGCATATTAGTGCATCAATTAAATGAAATATCAATGTTTTTTTTAAATCCTACTATAAATGAAAAAGTTTTCTAATAAATATTTACTTTGAGTTCTTCCGAAGTTAATTAAATATTTGAATCTTATTGATTTCTAGGTATAAAATTTAGTAAATAAAAGTCATTGTGAATCGAATGAGACCAAATTTGGAAAAAGCATGTAAGTGTATGTGATATGAGCTTTTGATATTTCGTCAACGTTTTCTCAAACGGCTGGACCGATTTCAAAAATTCAAAAGCCATTCGATGTAGCTCGATTCTTATCAAGCTAGAAGTTTGTCAGTGCGACGATCGGTCATGCCATTTCTTTGTAATTGTCAGAAAAGTGTAAAATTTTTTGTACACGTTTTAGATCACAATCTTGAATCGATTATAAAAATACCAAAAACTTTTCGATAGATATTACTTGAGAGTCGCGCTGATTAGCTTTTGGTAGAGTTTTTTGTAATTTAATGTTGATTTTTTTGACAATTTTGATAAAACTTCAGATAACTATAGATTTTGTAGTCTGAAAGAACATACTAAAAGATTATGACTCTACAATAAGCCGTTAAATTATAAAAAATCATCAAAATTCTGAATTTCGCCGTGCGCTTACACGATTCTGATTAGAACCTATGCCGAGTAAACACGCACGTTTTGTCTTTCGTAGATATCTACTGATTGCAGTTGATGCCCACACTCGAATAAAACATTTTTAGAACAAAAATATAAGAAACGAAATTTATTAAACAAATTAATTTATTTTATACAATTACGGATACTATAAGTATACGCATTGATTAATTTTAATTTTTAGTAAAATCAAAAATATTATTTTGGAAATAAAAAGTTGAATATTTTACCTAAATGGTTGAATCCATATGTTTATACCAATAAACCTATAAGATTTGAATAGAAAACTCGGAAAAATTCAAAGTAAAATGCAAATGCAAATATTCATGCAACTTGCCCTAAGGCAAAATGCTACTGACAACTGGTTAATTTTATCCATCTGATATTATATTGGAAATATGAATATTTCATATTGAAAATGTTGTCTAAGATTGGTAACAGCTCCATAAAAACTTTCATAGAAGTAAATAACCAATGAAACATATTTAAAAAAAGCATGTCACAAGACAAAAAATAATATCGACCGATCAAGTAATCAATATAAAACAATTGATAGTATGTAAATGCTCATGAAATGAATAAACAAAGTATATTATTCGCTCATGAATAAAGTTGAAAGTAAAGATATTGCAATTAGCAAAAGTATATTGACTTTTATTCGTATTGTTATACATAAATAATCATGATAGGTGAGTTTTTAATTTATTTTCTTAATTATAAAAACATGTAAGGATGAACGCGTTTTACAGTAACTCTATTTGACATTTATATTTAAGTTTGTCGACTAATAATAAAAAAACAATAAAAGTCAATCGGGTTCAATGTAATATTTTGTTTATGAATACGTAACAACAAAGTATATTAACAAATATTTTATTAATTTTCCCAAGGAAGTTTGTTTTCGCGAAAAAATCTATTTGCCAATTTTATGTTTTCTCGACGATTCGAGTCATTCTGAATCGAATGAGACAAAATTCGTTAAAAGTAGATGTGTGTATATGGAAGTCGATTTTTTTTTTCTTTTTTCGACGTTTTCTCCAAAATGACTAAAAAGATTTCCAAAATTTAAAAGCCATTCAATGCATTTGATTTGATCAAAAATTCGATAGACTTATTGATCTACTTGCGCGATCGGCCAAGCCGTTTCTTTGTAATTGGCAGAAAAGTGTAAAATTTTTCATTCGGGTTTAGCTCACAATCTTGAATCAATTTTCAAATTTAAATTTTAAAATATGTCGAAAGCTCGAAAAATAGTTGAGAATTGCGTTGATTTGATTTGGTCAAGATTGGCCGCGTCATTTCTTTACAATTAATTTATTATGTATTTATAAGTATTATATATTTATATTATAATTTAATATTATATTTCTAATTATTTTTTTGTTGAATAACCCTAAAATGGGTGAAAAATATATTGAAGAAATTAATTTAACTTATACAATTACAAATTTATAATTTTATTTATTTATCTATAAGTATGTTTCAAAAAAATCTATTTTACTTCGTTTTTAATGAACGTAAAAATTTGAATATTTTATCTAAATAGCTGATTCTAATTCTTGTCGATAAAGTAGATTATTTACACGTTTCGTGAAGTTAATCCTTTTCAAGTATTATAAAATTACCAGCATGAAGCTACAATATATATGAATACACATATATATATTATTCATTGTTTGTAGTAAATCCGATTTACTAATATTGTGTTTTCTCGACGTTTGAAGTCATTCTGAATAAGTGAGCCAAAATTTAAACTTCAGACAATTTCTCAAAAACGCCTTGTAATAAAATTAGACAAGGATTCATGATGATTAGTTTTCAAAAGATCTAAAAAATTAAGAAAAAATTTCAAAATGAATAAGAATTAAAGAACAACAATTTATAAATGAAACTGGTTCTTATAGAAAAAACTAAAATAGTTTAATATGTATAAACGTGAAGAGTAGTATTTAAAATTCCAAATTTAAA